CCCTATTGTTACGCAAATATTTAGGCCGCAGAAAGGGATATTAATAATAATAATAGATGACTTAGCACTTGGCGCCATTTAGCTGATTTTTAAAAAGTGGTGTTCTTTGCCGTTATTATAGTCGAGGCTATTATTCGTCAGAAACATAGTTATTGTAACAAAGCGATTTTTCCGTAATCACTGATCCAGCATGATATGAATTTTCGTACAAATGCGACAATATGTTAGTGTTATTTTAGGACGTTTCGCAATTTAGATAGTGAAATTTGTCGGCCGTAAGCTCTCAATCATTGATAACTTTGTTTCGAGTATTCGTCTCATCAATAAAATTAATTTTATACTGCGTTGAAATTTACGTGCTAATCTCCGAGTGACTAAGCATGAGAGCATACTGCAATCGTTGTTAAATTAAAATTCGTAAAAGTCATCTATGACATCATGATTTCTCATGAAACGAAAAATCTGGCAAATTTGTTTCCTTGGAGTGTGTATCGATATTTGTAACATACCTGTATGTCTACGTAGGCGTACAGTAATTATTTATTTTTTTAAATAGGTGTACAGCTGGTGGTTTTGGTTTATTTCTCCATTAAAATGACCACTGGTCGCTAAAAGTGTTTTAGTTTTTTGGCAAAAATACATGGGTCTTAAAAATGTCAGATGTTTGTCAGAACAATGATAAATGTGCGTTTAAAAAATTATTTTGAGGATTAATAGACTATTAATAATGCGTGTCAGTGAAATTCATATGCATAAATGTTTAGCTCTTAACTAATTTACCAGCGAAGGATTAGATATACAGGTGACGACTTTTTTATTGCTCACTATTGTGATTTTGGAAATGATTAGACATAAATCCGTTGGTCTAATAAAAACGTTACTTGCAGTTTCACAGTTTATATAGTTTGTAAAATGTTGTAGATTTATAGAGTTGATTTTTTATCTAGATACCGACTGCCAAAAATCAAGACGGATTCATATACTACACGTGTAGGACTTATTTTATAAACTTTATAGATATAAGATTTACCGCGTACAATTTTGAGGTATAAAAATACAAAATTTGACAACAATCGGTCCATTAGTTTCCGAGATTATCTGTCTAATTAAAATTGACACGGACGGCGAACAGAGATACAGACAGACAGACGGAATACATGAATGTAGCTTTTCGTCCGGTGGACCCTATTTCAATATTTTCTTAGCTTACGTTTGAGAAGCAAAAAAGGAGTTTTTTGAGTAAAATATGAACTTCTCCTATATCTGCAATAGAAAATAAAAGACAAAATGATGAAAAATATGGCTAATTTTGCCTCTAGTTCTGAGTTAATTTCATCAAATTTTAAATGATAATAAAAAAACGAGGTTTTTTGGATTAAAAAAATATCAGTTTATCCGGTAAATTTATAATACCTTAGAAACATACTTCTTATCTCATTTCTAATTTTAATAATACTCTCAGGTGAGAAAATGTTTCCACTCCGGGATTTTTATGTATACTTAATTCACTTTCTCCTAAATAGGATTACCTAAGTACTTTAACTATAAATCGATCAAAATGAAATGAATGCCATAAAAATGACTTAAATGATAAACAATGTGTCAATAAATGTCGTAACTTATAACACAAAAAAGCAAGTACGACACACTATATGTATATATGTTACAGCTAATATCCGAAATCCGTTATTATGCATAATAACTAGACATTTTAGGAATTATGCGTAATAACTAAACTTGTCAGTTATTATGCGTAATAACTGAAATTTTCAGTTATTATGCGTAATAACTGAAATTTTCAGTTATTATGCATAATAACGGAAACGTTTAGGTAATATTGATAATAACTAACAGAGGAACAGAAATTATGCATAATAGCTGATTTCACAAAAAACGGGACAAGATGAGCAATTCAGGTTCTCATAGATCAATGAAAAGCAATGGGAATATGAAGTTTCTGTTACTGTAATTTGTCCCGTTTTTTTTAAATCAACTGTACATGTGATATGTAGGGGAAAGGGAGGCAGAGTGGGTAGCTTTTTTGAAAATATTGTGCATAATTCCTGTTCCTCTGTTAGTTATTATCAATATTACCCAAACGTTTCCGTTATTATGCATAATAACTGAAAATTTCAGTTATTACGCATAATAACTGACAAGTTTAGTTATTACGCATAATTCCTAAAATGTCTAGTTATTATGCATAATAACGGATTTCGGATATTAGCTGTAACATATACATAACAACATAACAACATCATAAGCACCCTGTGGTGAAGTTTATTACATCTTTTCCTGATCTGAACTAATTTTTCAAGTGTAACAATGCAGTCACACATCCCACGTCCTATGTGTAACAAAGCTATAATTTAGCTGTTAAGACCAATAGACCACGAACAGAATGTTTTCGCGAAGTTCACATACATCTAAAAACAACACAATTAAGTTGTACGCAAATATTAAAAAAAATATATTTAAAAATCCATCGGAAAAGCGTATCTTGCGTCCATGGCCATGATCTACACGTCAGTATTCTCAGTCCAATTAAAATTTAAAATTATGAAACAATAACAGATTATACTATTATGTTACTTTAAGTCAAATTACGTGTTACATATTCAAATATTATTATTGGTGTGTACATACAAATTTATAAAAAAAATACAAAATTCAGTTCTATAGTTTTCAGTACATCGCGAATGTTTCTAGTAATTGTATACAAAAACTCCAATTTTTCCCGGAATACAATTATTTATCCTTTTAAAACACCATTTATAAAGGTGCCCATTATTATATCTGTAATAAAGGTTCATATTTTATTGGTCGTGAAATTGGATATATAACTTTAACAGGTAAGCTCGGTTTGATTTTATTACAAACATTGTTTACAAACAATTTATGAATATAATTCATTTTGTTGCAATGTGAACAAATCCTAGGATCAAATTATCTTAGACTCGGAATTAAAATCTTTAACTTTGGAATAAAACAAAATGACAGTCCTTAATCGCCTCGGATTTTTTCTAACATGTCATATTTCGCTTATTAGTGAAGGTGATATTGATATACAATAAAAACCAAGTTTAATGGAATGTTTAAAAATATGACTAAAGTCCCAAAAGTGCTACAGAAGTTACAATCCCTATCTTACATCTTCTTCCTTTTTTAATGTTTTGTATTTTGATCAAGAATTCATTAGAAATGATATTTTCAACATTTTCCATTGTATTAACAAAAGACCAAATAAGCTCTTGACGCCAGTGTTAAGTTTTTATTCCCCTTAACAATTTGATAATAATTAATAACAGATTACTTAATGGGGGTGTTAGATTTAGATAGTTCAATGTTACAAGAAACAAACAATAGGAAGTTGATAACCAGCGGCTTGACAGTCTTTTACTTCAGGAGCATCAACACATTTGGGACAGGTGATATTATGATTACATTTAGAAAGTAGTTAAAACTTTACACTTATTGCAGCGGATAATATCACAGCATCAAGAATTTTTCAAATATCAAGTCCCATTAGATAATAACCAGAGATAAGAGAGTTCTTATATATTGTAGTCGACTTCCAAGTGACTTCGATTTTTATGGACGAGTATTTGAAAAGTTTAGTTTTAAAAGATTCATTGAAAATATGTTTACTCCGTTTAATGAAAAACGAAACAATTTGTGGTTGACCACAACTTTCGAAATACCCGAGATAAATAGTCGTGGTTTTAGTGTTTAAATCGCTTATCTCATATTTGTTAGTTGTTACCAAATTATTTAACAGACAATTTTTTGGTTCCATTTCTATCGACTTAACTTTGGCGATACCAGGGTGTTTTTCAGGATTGATCTTAGAGATCGTGGCAACGATGCGATGAAATAACGAAGGTTATAATCTACTGAATAAACACCTAAATATTGTGAAAGACCTCAAAATATCATCGAAAAAACACTATTAAAATTGGATACCGTAACGAAGTGGATGCATAAAACAATATGCAGCAGACTTTTTTGCCTAAAAAATTTATACATTTAAAAATTATTCAAGAAAGTTGAGGTTAAAAAGAACTAAATACAACCCAAACTGCAAAAGAAATAGTGGACAAATCTACCAAAAGTTAATAAACATTTTATACAATACGGTGCCGCGAGAGTTAAGAGGGCAATGACAACTGTGAAACTAAAAACTTATACTTTCTGTATACTTTGCTATGTTTGTACAAAACGGGAAAATATTACTCATGATAAATTTGGTCATCTCTTTTCGTGTGTACCTAAACTCATGGTGATAAACGCTGCTAATGACAATTTCCTGACTAATTCTGAATAAACACCAAAAAATGGCAATTCAAGTTGTTTGCCACGACGGGGGTCGGCGTTAAATTCCTGTATTTCAACTTGTACTTACAGCACTGTAACCGACTTCCTGGCAGATACAAAACAATGTTCTGATGCCCTTGAGTGGGTTAAAATCAAAGTATCATATTATTTGTGGAAAACTTTAGTAAGATTAATTCAATGATTGGATGATTTTTTTTTCAAAGAAGTTTTTTAGTGTGCTTATCTATAGGAATTCCTTGAAAGTACTCGCAAGTGTAAATATCTACGTTTTTGGATTTTCATGATGATTACTGATTACGACAAAATTTATTTGCTCTTGTGATAAAAAGCAAACACTGTTACCTCTGGAGTCGTTAGATTTTGAAGTATTTGTAAGTGGGTATACTTATCATGTTTGCGCTGTCTTAATGTAAATAATATACCACACAGATTATCTCAACATCATAAAAGTACAATCAATAACTAGTAGTAATTAGTTTTCCCTTCCAGTAATTTTTTTTTATTTAATTCTGTCCAAGATTCCTTTAAATTCAGTTGTTTACACTGCAATAGGCTTAATTATCAACCTTGAATTTTCCTTATCATTAATTGTGCAATATGTGCATAGACGTAAAACAATAACAATAATAAACTGTTAAATGTACACTGTATAAACGCAAAAAAATCGCTCAAACTGTACAATTTAGTTATTTTTCACGTAACTAAAACAAAACGTCTGATTTATCTAAACACCTCGGTTTACCACCCCTCGATGACTAAGTGAAAATTTATGCACCTGCATGGAGCTAACGGTCGTAAAGGTAAGAGTCCTAATGCGACATTCCTCAAGAAACTTTTAAATTCCTCATAAACGTGCTTTAATTAACCCCAGAATTGCATTATGCAGAGACTTATGATTGTTAGTGTTCATGGAATTTTAAAAATAGTTCCAAACATTTGTATCCAGCAGTTAAACCAGACCAGTTTGTGTAAAATGGCGAATGAAACATTGAGCAGAGTCACGTTCAATTAGCACTTTTCAGCCAAAATCAATTAAAACAAATTGGTCTAATTAATCGAGCACCAGGTGCAAACGGAAATGAATTCGTAGTTCGTGCAAAAAGCCAACACCGGGTTTTGCAATTTGATGTTCTGCCAATTTTAATGGTGTCATTTTTCTTTCAACAATTGCGAAAATTCCAAGCTTCTCTGTCGTTTAATTGTGCGGTTTGCTAAAAGATTTATTCTGATGAGCGATGATCGGGAAAAGCGCCACCTCATTTTTTGACAAAATGATTATAGGTTCACGTTTTTCTGTCCATCATGGTGATTTATTATAATTGCGGTGGCCGAACAATAAATGTCGTAGCAGCACAAGGCAGTAGAATGTCGTACCCAGTAAATTACATGTTGTTGTTATTACACATTCAGTGTCGCAGACGAAATTTGGAGAAAGTGTCGGTGCAGTCGCACCGGTTGGGCATTAAAAAGAAAAATTAGGAGAAATTCCATCATTTGTTGGATTAGACGTGTAATAATGGTATCGTCTCGGTCTCCGACAAGAGTATGCATTTGGGTCACTGGAGTATGTTGGGAGATAATGCAGGCCCATTGATACCACCGAGAAAAACAACACACGGAAATAACCAAACATCCATCACCGAGTCCCATTGTTCTCAAAATCTCATCATTAATCAAACATTTTAATTAGAACACCTAGTGCGAAAAACGCGAAAATGCGCACGGAGATCGCATTACATCCCAAATTAAATAATTAGAAAATGCACGGTAAATAGGCCATTAATACCCTGACGCTGATCTAAAAATCTAAAAATACTAAAATCTAAATTTACATGCGCGTTTATGTAAGGGGAACGAATTTGCGAACGCCGCGCCAGAAAAACTTAAATTAAGGGTTAGTCATCAGAAAGGGTTACCTTTTGAATGACCAGTGGCGTGCCGAAATCTTTTCCTCCCTGTAACCTGAAACCCAGATTGGGGGAAGATCCCTTATCGAGACGCACAGTGATCAAAGAAGCCATGTTGCACTACTTATTCCCAATTTTTTTCTTTCAAAATTTTCACGTATTCGGCCACTATCACTAAGAGTTATTTACTTTTCGACCTCGCAGGAGTTTAAATGAAGTTTGTTGTAGAATTTGAAATAAGTGTAAGACGCTTCGTGGATCGTCGCTGCATTTCGCGGTCAATAGTGGGGAGAATTCTTATTAATAGTTGATAGAATATCCTACAATGTTTATGTATTTTGTTCAATAAAGGCTCAATTTGCGAGTTTCTCCTGAATTAAACGCGAGAGGAAACGTCAAGATTTTTTAAATTTTAAATTAAATTATTTCACGTGCGTTACGTAACGCACGTGATTATTACCGCCGAGCGTGTTATTATTTTTTTAAAGCATTGTATAACATTTATCTGCATATGTATAAATTTTTATGCCACAAGCAATTGCATAGCAGGAAGTCGGAAAATGGAACAAGTAAGATAAGTATTTTTTAAGCCACCGGAATGACTCCGTTGAAAGCAAAACAGGGAAATGAATGCGCTCTGAAATTGTTTATACGGCAAAATATTTCTGTTAGCGAAGGTCGTTAAATAATTCAATTTTGTTTGGATGTTCGTACAAAGAGAGTATTAATGACAGTGTTTCCATTACGAGAATGATGTCATTAAATTTTAATAAACAACACAAATTTGTTTTCCAAAAGCGTTTATTTCAAACATACATTACCATGAAAGTCGTACATTTTATTGTCCCAGATGATTCAGTTTGAGCTAAAGTGTTACAAAATACGTTCATGCAATGTTATTTTTAACGCATTCGGTTGTTATACAATAAAAATTCATACAGAATAAAATTTCACCGACTTTCGATTTCTGTTTTTATTATGTTGAATCCTACATACTACGTAACATCAACCATCTGATAAAATATTATCACATTCAAAGCGTTTTTGTTATAAAAAAATATTTTTAGCTGGATTCAATCCAAATGAGTAACCAACCATTTGCCTGTTTGCGAAATCACTAGTATTTTTAGAAAATGTTATGTATAAATTGTATGCAACCAATAAATCTCTGATGTGTGAAATATTAACAAGTGCGTTCCGATCTGTCGGTTTTAATGTCTAAATATCGTTCAAAAAATATTATCAAAACTACATTTGCTTTTACGACAAATATTACAGTTCATATTAACTTCTAGAATCACAAGGCTACTACTAATCTAATGACTAAAAACTGGAGTCACTACATATCACTAGTGAATCATGCAGCACCACTAAATTTAAATCATTGAGCACACACCTGAAGTGAATAACAAAACATGCGGACCACTGGTCAGTAATACTCATAATACTAAAAATAAATAAACTATCAACAGTTACATTTACAACTACATTTCTATTACATAAATAAATCTCTTGAAAGGAAGCCTAAAAATAATAACACTTCCTGTTTAACTTCTAGCTAAAAACTAGTCCTTTTATTTACAAAAATGTGAAAATACCATATGAAAGAAAAAAGTCGTCGAGCGGCCTTTGAAATTTAATGTTAAAAAATTATGTTGGTAACACCAACGCGTCGTTACTTTCTAGACGACTTTCTTCGATTGTATGGCACTAATATTGTCTATTTTTGCTGTACACAACTGCTACGTATAGAAGATAATTCGGAATAAATGCATTATGGTTCCTACAATGAAATATCTACATAACAGTTGTCAAATTAGTTATAAAAATTTATACTTTTAAATAACAAATAATATTTCAGGAGTCTCTATGCGTTTTTGGACGTTGTTAAATTATTACAAAATAAAAATTTAAATAACTTCTGGAATATTACAGCATGTGAGTATAGTATTTCATAACAGAAAACCTTTTTAAACTAGATTCAAAACTTAATAACTAATATATGTATAACAACAATAATAATAATAATAATCAAATGAGGTTCTATTTGAAAATACAAAGTATCCATAAATGATTGTCGCATCAGAGTGGGAAGTTTTAACGAACACGATTATAACTGACAAACTGCCAAGTTTCAGTTGTAACTTGATGACCAATCATTTACAGACATCTTGTTAAATTTAAACTCACTTATTATAAGCGTAACGTTGCTCTATTTTATCTACATCAGAAAACAGTAATGTAATATGTCCATTATGGTACGCAAATCATTGTGCCTCCATCCACAAAAATAAGATTTTCCAGAAAAAATTTGTTACTACGGAGATATGTTATGTCATATAATATTCTGGTAGCTCTAGGGCTAGGGTATGTACCAATTTTATTAGAAATTGATTGTTTTTCTTGGTAAAATGATAGTAATTTACACTGTATTGGACATATACTGTTTAAATCTATAGTAAAATATTATTAACGAAGATTTTTTTTATTTATATATGTATATTGTATATTATAATACTGTGAAGCTGATAAAAAAAACCTGTTACATACTTAGGTGAAACAAACCTACTAGGAAATAATAAATACTACACCGACGTTTATGTTTTTTTTATAGCAAATGTATTACTTACTCATTATTATAAGTAATATAGCATATTGGGCTAATGCTACGAAAGTGTCTTTTGGTAAAATAACCAAAAAGACAATATATTGTTAGAAAAAGCACATTTCGCTGTGTTTTATTATTTTTTAAAGTCAAGGGGTAATTTTGTTGGTCTAGCAATGTATATGAACAAGTGAATATAATATACTGAGATTCTTTTAAAAATTTTAATCTCTCAAACCAGAGTTTAAAGAATGCCAGAAAAACCACTTGAACATTCTAACACTGTGTACATCTCAAAACAAATTTTAATAAAATAAATAAAAACAGATATGCGTCTACTACACCTTAACGTAATAATTATATCAGAGTATGGTTAACTTTCAAAAAAGGTACGGTGATCTTTCGTACTTCTAAGCCATGAAAACTGTGATTCTTTATGTTATTTATTTGTTAAAAGAATGAATTTCAAAAGGTGACATAGCTGTATATGTAATCACAGGAAAATTGCTTATAAATATTGTTGCTTCGTTGTAGATTATACTAAACAATTTTTTCCGAAGATAATTATTTCAAAACATTCGCACATTTCAGTTACGTGTCACAAGAATTTTCATGTCTTGCACACCTTCCAAGAATTTGCCCTTATTGTCAATACGCTTTCGCTGTCTACGCCTATGTAACACCTTGGCACTCCGCTTCGGCATTTGCGAATCGAGCCGAAGTGTAGAGCTATCCAAGCGACCAGCTCCCGAGTGAGAAAAGACATCAACATATCCTTGCAAAACTAACCAGAACTGTTGTAAAAGGCTTCAGATAAATTCAACGATAGTCGAAGAACAAAACTGTGTCATTTGTGCACAGGCTGAATCGTTAAATTTTGGGGCATTTCTTGGGTATAAGCTTCAGTTAATACTGAAATAAATAATCGCGACACCACTGTTTGTCAAGTATGATACATTATCAAAAATATTGAAAGAATCGGTTTTCTTGTTACTACACTACATACTGTAAATTGTGTAAAAGGAGTAAGATTTATGTTAACACTACACTTCGGTAAAAAGTTTGGCAGTGTCATGTTAACTAATAGTTGATTGTAAAGTGCAGTTTTATCAAGTAAGAAACCACCACACACTGCAGTGTTGGTATTACTGAAACTGTTGGCACCACAAACGTCATATACTCGGAATATGAACCCTGATATGAACTTAAGTGACTTTGACGTGTTGGTGGTTTTTTAATTTATGAAGATGGCGTAACGCGCCAAGAACATGTGTCTTTGGAAAATGAAGATTTTGGTACAGATGGTGCTAACACACATCTCAAACTACAGTTAGATTCTAAAATTAGCCAATTTTAGACTTTAAATTCTGGCGGTCGTTACATGAAAATATGTATTGTCAACTCCAGATATAAACATTTTCATATAAAAATACCAACATGTAATAGTCATTCTGAATTAGGTTTAAATTAGTACCTTTTTATAGACTGGAAGATTAGAAGTATGTATACACAGGCTGACTATTATTGTCCGACGTTTCGTTCTTAATAAATAAATTAAATAATTTTTCAAATATCTACCTAAAATATACAAATCATAACTTACAGTTATCACATTTTTCATGTACAAATTATGAGACATAGCGTCGACTTTTTTAACTCTTACTTATTAGCCTGAGCAGCTTGTCGTCGAAGATCAGATTTAATTAATCCTGTCATGATAGTGCCTACTAGTAACATTATAGACATTATCGAATTGGCCCAAATGTCGTTAAGGTTGTTGAAAATAACGGAATAGATGTTTGTAAACGCGATTCCAAAAACTTGAGCCGATGCGTTTAAAAGTCCTGCTGAGGTACCTTCTGGTTCTGGATAAGTGAGTTCTGCACCGAACTCGAATCCCACTGGCAGTAAACCGGTCATGAAAAATCTAAAAAGTCGAACAGGTGACTTACAGAGTGTAAACACTTCCGAAAAACAAAATTTTCTGAAGTTTATTGGCATTTTTTTCTCTTACCCTAATAAAGCAGCTGTAAAGTAAACCACACCAATGCCTTCATTCAGTGTAAAAGTAAAGATAACCATTCCCACGAGAGACAACGCGTATACTGAAAGAGTTGTTTCTCTACAACAAAAATTTTCAATGCGCTATATTAACAAAAAAGGGTGAATGTACTTAAACTTGTGCCATTTATCTAAAATAATTCCACAAACAACGGAACCAACCATTCCTGCCACAACAATAACCAAACCAATTCTTCCGGCATCTTCTTCAGCGTCCTAGAACCCAAAAAGTAACGTTTTTGAAGTTTATCTGCTTTCAAAAATTGTTTTCAGGCGTTGTGTGTTAAATTTTGGGTGGTACCACTGCCCACAATTTAACATAAACCATAATGTCAACATCAGAATAATGTGATATGTCAGTTGTGCAGTAGTACCATCCACGGCTTGACAGATACCGCCAACTCTAATTCCTTTTTTTTACGATCGCCTGGTAGATGGTAATATTATTCACTTTTTTTAAAGAGATACAAACCTTATAATAAAGCAATATTATCTGATTGAGCAAGGTGGAAATCGCATAAAAAATTCCCGTGTTTATGCCATATGAAAGCAAGAGAAGCATATACGACGGATTTAATACCAATCTCTTTAAGGATTGCAGAAAATTTCCAGCATCTGCATTGTCAGTTGGTTGAGATTGTGCATAAGACGGAGGTGTTGGTGGTTCATTCTTGAAAACTATCGCTCTGTTAAAATCAGTTCATTTTTTGTTCTTGTTACTTACAGATAATTATAAGGACTAGTAAAACTGAAGTGTATACTCCGACGGCTATAAAAAGGATATACAAGTCCTCTGTGATTTCGTCTTCAGTACCGTTTCCAACGATCATCGGCGGAATAAGGAATCCGAGGGCTACTCCTAACTGAAAAAAATAACTAGTCAACCAGATCTAAAATAACCAATGCAATTAATCTGGTGCAAAGTGCAAGATTGTGCCTTGATTGATAATAATAAAATAATGGTGTCTGAGTCGGCTAGCCCTTGCGGATGTCCTCATCTAACTCTGACATAATACTTTAATGACGACATCAGAAGGCTGTATTAGTCATATGTAAATAGAGATCATTATGTAATGTATACAAATAATTGTGACGTTTGGAACACTTCCATTATGCAAGATGCAGGTGTATGGTCACATTATAGCCGCTTCGTCAATAATTATATGATAATTTTAACTGTATTGCAAATTAACTTGAATTTTTCTAAGTTTTAATCATTGATGTGGTGTATCAATTTAGTGTTACCTGATTTCCAAAAACTCCAATGCTGCATGCGGAAGATACTTGTGAAGGACCAAACCAAACAGCGGCTAGTCGAGCAGGTACTGATAAAACAAAAACTTGAGACAGGGCAACTACGGCTTGACCTAAAAATCCCACCCAAAATCGGTCAGGTGAAACAGATCCCACTTTTATCCAAGCACCAGCACAGGTGCCCACCATTCCAATGAGTACGGAGATTCTTAAACCCTGAAAATAGCAACAGAATAACAAAAAAAAAAATAAGACAAAATGTTTTTATTGAACCGTAAAAAAATAGCGCCATTGTATTTAATGTAAATTTAGAAAAATATATTATTTTTTAAAGAAGAGACCTACATGCATACAAGATTCTAGAACGATTTTTAAAGTAAAAATGCTGACAATAAGTAGAGATAGAGGAAGTATAAGTGTCTTGACACATTAAACAACGGAAAGTTTTATGAGTCGGAAGATTTTTACTAAAATAAATTAAAGATAACCTTTTTAAAATTTTACAAAAGTTGACAAATTGTTGATATATTTTACTAACATGTTATCCCCCTACTTCTACTTCTAAAAATATTATTGTTGATTATCTCGTAATTTTTTTAGAGTTGTACAACTAGACATACAACAGCAATATATTAATTTATTACGTTATCACGATTATATATTAATTAATTATGTATCCAAATTTTCTAATCAATAAATTCTGGAGTACTTTAATAAATTAACGTCACATAGTTAATGACCGTTTATATCGGGAACGTTTCACATAAATATGGAAGTAACCGGCACTGAATTAGTAGGTAGATATAACTGGCACTTGGTAAATAATTTTTAAAACAGCTCTATCAAAACTGAACAACATCTACACATTCTTCTGAAAAGCTTAGATAAGTTTTCAAACAAAACTTGATCGTCGATTTCTTTAAAATCAGTTTTAATGAAAAAATTCACTTCATCGCCTACTACTGGGTTCGAACATACAAATAAAGACTCTTAAAAATCTCCAACACAAAAAGAATGAAGCCTTAAAAAGTCTGAAATTGGTTAAGATTCGCTGGATCGGTGACGCGCTATTGCTAACTTCAAATGAACCAAGTTGAGTCTAACACAAGCTGTGTTATGAGCTCACGAATTTGAAATGACTGAAGTAATTGTTATCAAACATAGTTAAGAAACATCCCGAGTAAACCGGCTGTCAGATAAAACCACCACACTGAAATCTGTTCATCCGTTTGGGAACTACGACGCAACAAACAGACACACAGACGAAAAATTGGTCTAAAGAGTTTAGACAGTACTTCCCTCGCTGTCGGAAACTTGACGACTGCATGCCTATTATGTTTTTTTTTCTCATTACATTTTTGTAGTGGGAATTTAAAAAAAAATTGTGATGACGTCATCAACATTTTTGCAAGGACACGTATATCAGTTGGGATAGATGTAGTGTAATACTAAGAATAAAATTATTGTGTTCCCAAATTTTCGGGAAAATGAATTGGGTCGTTTTGAATATTGATTTCTTATAATCAATAAAATAACGAAACAATTTACTCACGTATACGGCGCCGGTGTGTAATATCTAGAGAGCGGATTTCTGTCGGGCTAGGCAAGGCCAAACTCGGTACGGCTCGCACGGGATGCGAATTCATTGCCGTTGCGGACTGCACTTCGTTTATTTGAGATTAGAATAACGTTGTTTCGTTGCACTCTGCTGTTAATTCCCGTTCTCATTTACTTAGCCGTTTGATTAATAAATCGTTAATTATATTTATGGAATCCAGCACGTCCCCCCCTATAATCGTGACGTAGCCCGACAGAAATCCGCTGTCTAGTAATATGAGGGGCAACTAAAAATCGTTTATGTATAAACATTCTTAATTTAAGATGACAAGCGTAACAGCATACGTGAGAGTCAAACAGAGAAACTGTAAACAAAACGACCATCGGTTTTATTGCTTCGACTTCCGCTTATTATATAAAACATTGCGTTTTATTTTAATTCTTGACGGTGAAATTCACAATTGGTTGATTATAAACATGTCTATTTCGCATTCGCGGAACCAAGTGACCGCATAAAACAAATGCAGGTCTGTAATGTTAAAGTCGATGTAAATAAGCGTGCTACCCTTATGATTCAACCGAGTTTTTCCTTTAACAAATTTTGTGTCTACCAAATTGGGTTGGTTGGGGTGTAATACTAATAATAAATGTTGCCTTTAATTTAATCAATAAAATAAATTGACTTCATTAATTTTTTTGAACCACCTCTTAAGAAAATCTAAAAAATATGAATGGAATGATAAATCACAAGTACAAACTCATCATATTTTTTGCATTTTAGATAGGATTTATTCAGCAAAATTTAAGGGTGACGTCATCAATTTTTTTAGGAGGGATGAACAAATACATTTTGAACAAAAGTTTACCATGCTTATAATAACTTTAAAATATTCCCAAGATTTCAAAGCATTCGGTTTTGTAATTCCTGATTAAATCGATAAAATAAATTCACGCCTTCATTAATTTTTTTGAGTCACCCTGCATATGCAAATCCAAAAATATGAATGGAATGATAAATCACAAGTACAGACTCATCATATTTTGTACATTTTAGATACGATTTATTCGGCAAACTTTTGAGCTGACGTCATCAGTTTTTTGTAGAAGATAACCAAATATATTTTGACTAAAAATTTATTATGCTCTTTATAACCTTACAACATCTGCAAGATTTCAAAGCATTCGGTTTTGTAGTTCCTGATTAAATCAATAAAATAAATTTACGCATTCATTAATTTTTTTGAGTCACCCTGTATATGCAAATCGAAAAAATTTGAATGGAATGATAAATCACAAGAAGAGACTCACCATATTTTGTACATTTTAGATAGGATTTATTCAGCAAAATTTTGTGGTGACATCATAAATTTTTTAGGGAGGACGACCAAATACGTTTTGATCAAAAATTTACCATGCCTATGATAATTTTAAAATATCTTCAAGATTTCGAAGCATTCGGTTTTGTAGTTCCTGAGTAAATCAGTAAAATAAATTTACGCTTTCATTTATTTTCTTGAATCACCCTGTATATGCAAATCCAAAAAATATGAATGGAGTGATAGATCACAAGTACAGACTGATCATATTTTGTACATTTTAGATATGATTTATTCGGCAAATTTTCGAGCTAACGTCATCAAGTTTTTGGAGGGGATAAGCAAATATATTTTGACTAAACATTTATTATGCTCTTTATAACCTTAAAGCATCTGCAAGATGTCAGAGCATTCCGTTTTGTAGTTCCTGATTAAATCAATAAAATATATTTACGCATTCATTAATTTTTTTGAGTCACTCTGTATATGCAAATCCAAAAAATATGAATGGAGTGATAAATGACAAGTACAGGCTCATCATATTTTGTACATTTTAGATATGATTTATTCGGCAAACTTTCGAGCTGACGTCATCAAGTTTTTGGAGGGGATAAGCAAATATATTTTGACTAAACATTTATTATCCTCTTTATGACCTTAAAACATCTGCAAGATTTCAGAGCATTCGGTTTTGTAGTTCCTGATTAAATCAATAAAATATATTTACACATTCATTAATTTTTTTGAGTCACCCTGCATATGCAAATCCAAAAAATATGAATGGAGTGATAGATCACAAGTACAGACTCATCATATTTTGTACATTTTAGATATGATTTATTCCACAAACTTTTGAGCTGACGTCATCAAGTTTTTGGAGGGGATAAGCAAATATTTTTTGACTAAAGATTTATGATGCTCTTTATAGCCTTAAAACATCTTCAAGATTTCAGAGCATTCGGCTTTGTAGTTCCTGATTAAATCAATAAAATATATTTACGCATTCATTAATTTTTTTGAGTCACCCTGTATATGCAAATCCAAAAAATATGAATGGAGTGATAGATCACAAGTACAGACTCATCATATTTTGTACATTTTAGATATGATTTATTCCACAAACTTTTGAGCTGACGTCATCAAATTTTTGGAGGGGATAAGCAAATATTTTTTGACTAAAGATTTATTATGCTCTTTATAGCCTTAAAACATCTGCAACATTTCAAAGCATTCTGGTTAGCAGATTAAAAATTAAATTTCAAAATATTGTTTTATAATTTTGATTTTTTTTCCAAAAATCTGGACGTTTCGGGTGAAAAGTCGATTCAGAGTTGTAAACTACATGTGTAGGACTATGCTATTTTATACAATTGAAAACCCATTTACTATGTACAATTTTGAAGTGGCGTCATCGCATTAGTGGTGGGGATGATTAGACAAATTTTGGTTAGCGTTTTACCATCTACATGATATTCTTAATATAAGTACAAAATTTCACAACAATCGGTCGAGTACTTTCGGAGATTATCTGTCTAATAAAAATCCGGGACGGCAGACGGACAGACGGACAGACGGACGGACAGACGGACGGACAGACGGACAGACGGACAGACGGACAGACGGACAGACAGACGGAAATGGGAGACCTATTTCTTCGTCTTCTAGGGGTCATGAAAGATCGAGAAAACGTAAAAGTAGAGAGTCGGCCGACGGACTCGATTACAATACTTCCTTTGCTTACGCTCGGGAAGTAAAAAGGATTAAAAGATAAAGAGCGACGAACATTATAATTTAAATCATTAGGTACATTATGTAATCGGTATGATAATACTTTTACACTTTGTATCTTTCATGTGTCATACTTTATCACCATTTCGTCTATATGTAATTAAAGTTATCATTATCAAACAAAAACTATAACAAAGAACCGCTTTAACAATTTTAACTTAGATAATTATGAAGCTGAAGGGTAGGTACTCCTTCAACATCTGCAGGTGTTAAGGAATTCTGTGTGAATGATTAGATGTACATTTTTTACTTATCAAGATTTTCAAGATTGCATAAGTATTAGTTATATATAGATAACAAATTTTATTGAAAAATATAAAACTATTTTTATAGGACAAATTAACCAGTTCAGTCCAGTATTTAGGTGCATTGTCAATGACGCTCCAGTACTGTAAGTGACCACTGATTTCGTAAGTTCCTTTACTGATATTAATGTCAGTAGACAGTTATCTCACTTTACACAGACATAAAGTTTGTGTGGACTGACTTTTGGTCACTTTAATACCCATCGTTGCACATTTTATTGTGGATATAAAGAATTTCTCATCCTTGTCTTGCATTCATGCTAAAATTTTCGCCTGTGTTACCTTTTATATAGCTTTTTTTATTAGTTGTGATTCATTTATATGTATTACCAGGATGAGCTAATGCGTTGGGAAATTTTATTGTTCCAAGCATACATATCTGTTTTTTATATCAAAATTCGTACAATGTGAGTCTAGGATTATTTTTTGTGTCGTATCTAATTGAATTGATGCGACACCTTTCTTATGTTTGGAACTCAAAATATCTTCATTTTTAATAGGTATCATAAATATTTGTAAGAAATGAAGTTTTACATTAGGAGTATATTCAAACTGAAAAATTATCCATCAGAGAAATTTCTTGGTGTAATATTGTGGTGTAAAAGATTTGTACAAGTGTCCACACAAAAAGGCTTTGAAATTTTCATCACATGTCTGCAAAAATTAGAACTTTCTTTTAATGCGATTCGAGTTCCATTGGTTTGAAAATAATGATTATAAAATGAATATCGCCATTAGAACAAAAAATGAAAGGAAAAAAAATTGGTAGCGAAAGGAAGTTTACTAAAAAAAAACATATTTATCTAGAAACTGTAACCCCAACTAGTCATTTTATTTTTGTTCTGAAATAGTTATTTGCACAACTAGTTTTGAAAGTGATACTTTTTTGCATGAATTTGTAATTTGATTAACGAGAGCGAAACTTGAGCAAATGAGTGAAAAAAAGAGACTTTCAAAACGAGTTGTACACGTATTTTTTCTTTGCATGCTGATCCTTGTAAGCCGAAAGTAAAAAAAATCTGTCATTGACATTTCGCGATTTTGCTGTCACTCAAAAACTGTTACTATAAAAAAATAATAATAATAAAAAAAACTAGTAGGCAATAAGCATTAGAATTAAAAAATTGAACCACTTTCGACACCGCAACGAAATCTTGCAAATCTTAAAAATTTTTGACGTCAAACATTAACAGTTTAGTAACATAGTTGTTTGCACATCTGTTTCGATTACAATATGTGGCAATTCGATATGATTATCTCTGCATTTAGATAATTTGCATTTTTTTGCAGTTAAAACAAATACATCAATAAGTATTTTACATCATTGTAAACGTAATTGAATGGTGTATGAAAATCTGTTAACAAATGTATACATTGCAATTTAAAAAAACATAGGTTTGCGTCGCAACACCGACGCCATATATGCGTTATGTTTGCGGTATACTAGATTAAACTTCCCTCTTCAAGCTACAAACAACGGCGTTTGTAGAGTTTCAATACCTCTATTCGTTCTCAAGATAATATGATTTAACTTATCTGATGATTAAATAAGTTTCCTAATGCCAAGAAAAATGAAGAAAATATTATTTATTTGGAATTATTTATTAGGTTGGAAACAATTATTTCCAAAACATTGTTCTCTTTAAGGTCACTTAGTATTGCTAAACTATAATCAAGTTTACAATAGCGATAATTAAAATATTAATAGGTTCGGTAAAATTCTGATACTACGTCCAAAGATCTGTAAACTTGGTTTTCGCCCCAAAAATAAAATTTTGATAAAAAAAATTATATGAAAAGTGACAGTGTCTAGTTGTAAACGAAAGTTAAGTTTAACAGAGTATACATATTTTTTTTACGAATATTTGATTTATTATTGATTGTTAACTCTATTGGCAATCAGTCCAAAATAATAAAACAAACTTTCCGAACTAGGTACATCTGTCGTCAATAAAAAATATTAATTTAATTTATCTTTAATTTAAGATCTTAAACTAAATCGTATCTACAAGACTTAAATTATCAACGACATTACGTAGTAATTAATCTAACAGTGTGATAATAATCAAACAAAAGCGTTTTCGTAGTTTAATCTTCTGACTAACGATAGGAATGAAAACATTTAGATCTAAATGGTGATTATGTCTAACACGCATTTTTGGCTAATAATAATTAGATTAATTGATTTACAGGTGTCTGAAAGATGAAGGTCACAGATAAAAACCAGCTAAAATCAATGACAGGGACAAGTACCTACACTAATTCAATTTAATGAGAAACATACCTGAATAATATAAAACTAATTGTATTTCACAAAACATCTTTCACAAGAAAAATTTTTAAAAATGATATTGTTATTTAAACCATCAAACCCTCTCAAAATTTCAAATTCTTAAAAACCTTTTCACCGAAAATTACAACTAACAATAAATGTAATAATAAAAAAAGTTACCACACAGAAATCATAATGTGGAATTTATAACATTTTCAAGGTATTTTTAAATGCGCTGTTATCTTGGTATCGTAAAAATTTTAAATAGATGCAGATTGTAGTGTTTAAATAGATGCAAATAAATCACATATTTTTAACTACGTTTGTGTTGTACATAACATGCAATTTTCTTCGCTTGTTTTTTCCTTACAACCTGAAATTTGGAGGTCAACATAAATCAATAAAAACACAATTACAGTCGAGTAGTAGAAAATGATGTTGAGATAGTTCGTAGAAGCAGTGTTTTACGATTTTTTATTAACAAATAAGTGAAATTAATATTAATACTAAATAGCACAGCCTCGAAGTGGTAAAGCAGCTATTTTTCAAAAACAAGTTATTGGAACACAGACAGTTACATTTTTTAAACAATTTTGTGACATTTTGTTTCTAAGAAAAGAATAGTGGAAAAAGTACAAAATTAAGAAATCTTTACGACCAGTTTATCAGGTATACATACAACAAAGCCTTTGAATAATAAACTCAACACATATACACGTCTGCTAAACGCTTATGCAAATACTTGAAATCGCGAAATAATCGCCAGGATTACGTAGGTCCTTAAAAACGTACATTTGTTGTCATTCTGTTATTGTGGCAATGCCCAGAATAATTAACTTACCAAACACAAACAAAAAAACCTGTAAATTGATTTAAAATCAAACCATAATAAATACAACACAAACTGTTAACTGGTCAAGGTTGCCAACTTGTTCAGACTATCATCATCGTACTTACCAATTTATCCAAGAGGTAGCTTCCTGGGAAAATAAATGGGATATAGAGAATCATATAAAGCATCGACGTCCAGTCCACCCATGTGGTTGAAACACCATAATATTTCGTTATCACATTAGCTATAATGGAGTATTCGATCCATTGCATTGCGTTCGATGTGGAATACAGAACGAATAATGCCAGAATGAACCATCGAATTTCGTAAACTTTAAGTTTTTCGATCTCAGGTAGAGTTCCATGTTTCTCGACATCGTTATTTTGCATCGCAGGTGAGCCTTACTGGAATTAGGTTAATTTAATAAGTTTTTTAAAGAACTGAACTGACTTCGACCAACAAAATCACCCTGAGAGGATCGAGGTTTCTCTTTGTTAAGGTCACGTAACACTGGCTTTTTGCAATTCAAATGTGTTACACGGCAAGAGGTGCAAGAACGTCACCTTCGCGGAATTTCTATCTGAAACCTCTTCAAGATTTTAATTTCGTAATCAGATGAAATGTATCTAAGATTAGTTTGGTGAATGAGATACTTATGTGGTGTTATAATGAGAATGAAACTTATCAATTAGAGACTTGAGGAAAACAAAGATTTAGATAAGATCACAAAAATTCCATATTAATCAAAAACAATTTGTTGACGGAAGAAAAATCACGTCTTATGAACATGACAATGTAGTATGTACTGGTAATACCTGCAATGAATCAAGACTTTGTTCATAGTTTATTTAACTGCAGACAATTAAATTAAATACTGTTGTAGTCTTTATATTTTTATTGCAGCTATTGTCTTTGTGATTCAAAGGTCCGCCTAGCTAACTACAAAGACAATAGCAACTGTTGAGAGTCTTCTCACAGACCATAGCGCAATTACGAGATCAGGCATATTAAACTAAGGTAAAGCTACACACTTTGTGTAAACTGAATATATTTTGGAAACAGTGTAGTACTCGTATAATACAATATTTTTTGCTTGACAGTCACGATATAGTCACGGTCAGAGATAACAGTATAAATTAAATGGAATGTGTATACATATATTATTACACTGCAGGTATAAAACAAACGTTGGTTAGACTTCAACATTCATTGTTGGAAAAAATATTGAAAAGATAAGGTCGTTTTGACATCATATTAAATTTAAAACTAAATTCCGAATGCTTGAATGATTTTATTTTATCGAATATTTAAATCGGTGAAGTAGGTTCTACCATAGTTAAGGTTACTGAATGCAGGTTAAGGCTAGCTGGACAATCTTGAATGTTGAAGATTGTGAATTTTCCTCGACAGTCAAAATATCGTTGCACGGTTGCAGCGATTCATTAGAGTATGTGATCCAAAATAGATTAAAGTACAACCATATCATAGGAAAAAAATCTACTGGTAGGCCATGAAATTTATTTTAAAAATAATTATGTTGGTATTACAGTCATTTGACATCTTTTAAAAAATAAATTCCATGGTCTAGTAGACGACTTTTTTTCGATCATATATGATATTAGTCAAGTGAGTTCATTGTGAATCAAGTATTAAAAACAATTTATGTATGTGTAGTATATATGCATATAACGAAGATTATACTGCACGTTCATATACCACAGTCTTAAAGGTACAAAAAAGGTACAATTTATTAAAAAAGTGATGCTCTCAAGGTAATAGATAAGCAAGTATAACATTGCGAAATAGTGGTGCCAAATGAAGCTTTTATGTATTTTTATTTTTTTTTTTAAGGTCTCTTTGACATTTTCCAATTTTTCCTGTGTTATTTTATGCCTGTTTTATACATAAAAGTCATTCTGTAAGTTAAGGTTTTTATTGAACTATTTAAAATAGGTATATATAGATAGGTATATTAACATGTAAAAGATAAAAAACAATTATTTTAATTTCATACTTACTAAAATTATCGCAGGAATGTTTACGTCATTAAGGAGGAAGTTTACCAACATTTTATAAATTGTGAGTTGAAGACAATTAAACAAATTGTGATACATGTTTACTTGTGTTGGTAAAATTAAGATTATATATATTTTTATAAAATATATCATTAATTTAAAACCAGTCAAAAATTAATGAGTTTAGAAAAAAGTATTTACGTTTGCGCAAAAAAAAAAAACAAATTTACAGCTTTGAATCTTTTAAACACTCAAAAATGCCCAATTACACAAATCATAAATTATAAATACATAAAGAGATATTTCCAGGATTCTATCGGTGTTGTCAAACTCTTTTTCTAATCCCCTGTTTAATAAAAATAATACTCCTAACAAGTTTGTTGTTGTTGTTGTTGTATATGCTATAGATAAAATAGCGATATTCGTCATTCCTTAAAATGATATATATATTTTTTATGTGATGAAGTACATTATATTTTTGTCTAACTTTGGAATTGGAATATGTGATATAAAATAAAGTACAACTATATTATCGAAAAAAAATCCACCATTAGGCCATGAAATTTATTTTAAAAATAATAATGTTGGCATTACAGCTACTTGATCCTTTATTTGACAATTATTGACCGTAACTGTCTAACTAAACAAGGAACGCGTTGGTGTTACCAACAACTATTAAAAAATAAATTTCATGGTCTACTAGACGACTTTTTTTCGATCATATGGTATTAGTAAGGTGAGTTAATTGTAAATCAAGTATCAAAAACAATGTACATATCTATGTCTAGTCTATACGATAATGATGGTTATACTGTACGTTCATATACCATAGTTTTAAAGATCTAAAAAAATACGGTTTATTAAAAAATGATCCAACACAGTAAGCAAGTATAACATTGCGGAATAGTGGTGTCAAATGAAGCTTTCATTTATGTATTTTCTTGGAAAGGTCTTTTTGACATTTTTCATTTTCCCCTGTGTTATTTTATGCCTGCTTTATACGTCATTCTGTAAGTTAAGTTTTATAAAACTATTTAAAATATCAAGTAAGGTATATGAAAAATGTAAAAGATAAGAAAAAATTATTTTGATATGATATTTACTGAAATTATCGCAGCAATGTTTACGTCATTAACGAGGAAGTTTACCAACATTTTATAAAAAAAATAGACAAATTATGACACCTACTTGCATGTGATGGTAAAATTAAAGTTTACTCACTTTCATCTCTTTCTGGTTATTTATGGAGGAAATTGAGTAAAAAAATTGCTCGAAGGTTATTTCGTCAGAACTTTTCCCGTCTTTGAAGTATAATCCGCCAAATCTCGCTTTTTTTAATAATTATAACTCTTGATTTTGCGATTTTCGTTTTGCTAATAACCTCCATAAAGTAAGCGCCACGAATAACCACCCCCAAGCCGCTGCGCCAAGAATTTGTGCTCCCATGTACGGACAATATAAAATATACATATTTAAAGCAGATAAACAACGGAAAAAAATGTCCTCTCAGCACTAATAACAAGCTTAAGTTCAAGTGTTTATGTTTACACACCGAAAGAATATCACGTAGAAAATAGCTTGTTTTGAACGAGTGTCTCCTCAAAACAGGGTACTAAAATTATTAATTAAGCCACAATTGAACAAAATGTTCTGAATATTATAATACTTCTTTTGTCATTATTACACAAATATGTATGTGGGTATTCCCACATTTAAAAAAAGGGGGTGATTCGTTACTAATTTAATAAAAAAATTTGATGACGTCATTAAAGTACATAGATAATACTAGTAAAATATGTTTTTGTGAAAATTTTGTATATCACAAGTATAGGAATAACATTTAAAACATTTTAAGCCAAATTTTGGTTAGCGTTTAACCATCTACATGATATTCCTAAGATATGTACATGCAAAATTTAACAAAATCGGTCAAGCAGTATCGGAGATTACGTGTCTAATAAAAATCGACACGGACGCCAGACAGACAGACAGACGGAAACGGGAGATCACTTTTTGCGTACTCTAGGAGCCATAAGACGTCGAGAAAACATGAAATTGGAAAGTCGCCCGATAAACTTGAATACTATACTTCCTTAGCTTACGCTCGGAAAGTCAAAAAGCAATGAAGTTGCTCTATTTTCTTGGTTATTTTTTAGAAAAAAAATTATCATATGTAGGTATATTTAGAAAATTTGAGAAATCTGTCGGCCATGTTATATTGGTAATATCTACCTACTGGTACTGATTCTTACTGAAATATATTAGTTTTTATTTCAATTTATGACCTGGAGTCTTTCTTCACGTTTACAAAATATCTAATACGTCTAATTTTAATTAGTTCGTTTGAACAAATTTCATGTAAGCTATTTTTTATTTTATTTTATTTTATGATCAATAACAAAGTACTGCATTTTTTAACACGAGTTAATAAAATAGGAACTAATACTCCTAAAAATGAATATAAGTTTAAAAACAAAAATATGTACTATACATTTCCATACAAGTTTTCCTGTCACCCACATTTATAAGTATCTCTTAAACCAATACGTGCTTCTCTTTTTTCGATTATTGTTTCTGTAAGAAATTCTTTTTTAGATAAAAATACTCATACGTACTTTTTTAACAACACAAGAGGTGGAATTTTTGCCGCGTTTATAAGCCTCTTTTATCTTTTGCGAATTTATTTATTTTAAACTGTTCAAAATTTTTTTATTATTCGTTTTATTGTATTTATTTACATTTCTAATAATATTTTAATAAATAATAAACTAAAAATTAATTTGGGTCCAACACTTTCAACGAAATATTAGGTAACTGGAAACGTACCAGCGAATTTTTTGCCAACAAACCACGAACGCTTAACACTGAGAGAAGAATATTACATAATATATAATAATGTAGTCTTTAAAATTCAGCGACAACTTTATAATTACTTAACACGTATCTTCCACGGTCCGATTAATTTTTAATTATTTACTTTGCACGACAAGCGTAGTTGACTAAATTGTTTTGACACAAAAATTCACATTATTTGGCTCTAATACTGGGTTTACAAATGTAGTAAAATTCCACATTAATTACTCTTCTAATGGTAGTATAACGTAAGACAAACACCTTGTTTATTACCTTCACTCTCTAGCATAGAATATTGAATACGCAATAACAATTTCCAGTAACCACAAAAAAATAAACAAACCGCAAAGCATGAATTAAAATAATTGAAAACAAAATATAAATATTTATTCAACCAACATTATTATTTATTTCTACCATCAACAAAAACTAGGTTGATCAGTGACGTTTCCACGAAAGTATCAAAACTGCACAAAACAAGTGTTACGTTATAAACCTGCTCTCCCCTCAACTACGTGCGAATTCATCCCCAAAAACTCACCGTTGTGACGTCGCAAGATCGATTCTAATCCAGAAACAAACGTGTTTTCCTCAGCAACAAATCCGGGGCAACGCTTTTGGCGGTATTGTGTTTTCTGGCAACTGACACTATATAGCGGACAACATAAGTTTATAAAAGTGTAGTAAATATCCGATAATGTTATCACTGTTTCGTGGTACTACACTAGCTCTCGACAGGAATTTTAAAATGATTCAACTGCACAGTCGGTTCTCCATACACGCGCTCATTCCATCCGTATGTGCGCGCAAGCCCGGAAAGGACACAAAGCAGATCCATGAATGAATGTTCGGCATCATCCTTGGGATGATTTGGGGTGGAAATTGAATAAGGGTGTACTGTTTTGGGTTTGTCGAGGTTGTTTATGCAAACATGGGAGGACGATGAACTTTCATCTTGGAGAAGAGGGGATTAATATCACTAGAAATAGCACAATTTCACAAGTTAGTGAAAAATGATTGTGTGGAGGGTCATTTTTAGAACGTTTTTGGGTTGGATGGTGAAAGTGAAGCAGGACGCGGGGATCTGAAGGAAAAAACCTAGCTGTGAACAAATTTTGGAGACGTCATCAAATTTTTGGTACAGATAGGTAACTTATTTTAATAAATTGAATCAAAACGGTTTAGCTCGTTTTCACGAAAGTCTGGACACACAGAATTGTTGTTATTAGCGTTACAGTCGAGCATCAAAACTGATGTATTTTTGCTATTAAAAAGTTGATTATGTCATCATAAAATTTATTAAGAAATCGTGTTTAGAATATACCACAGATATAATTTGTCAAAGAAGCTGCGTTTGTTTAATGGATTGTCTTTCAAAGACGAGGGAAGATCTGTATATAAGTTCTATATTGTAACTTTAGATCAAATATTTGAAACAACAGATAGAACAGAATTTTCCTCATTTAGATTTCATAACACCACTTAGAAAAACTTCAAACTTCATAAAGTGTGAGTGTGAGTGTACTGGCGGACGGTTGTGCAGTGAACTGTGTTCCTGGTTGATTACCAATAATTATTGTTGTAAACAAAACTTCTCACACGTGAGTTATGGTATGGTTGCAGTACTTGTAATCTAGTTTTGTTTGCATCTAGCATTTTTTACCAGTTGCCTAATCTAGACGCTCGGTATTTCTTCTATACCGTAGCGGCTACTTATCTATCTATCTGTTGATAAGTTTTTGCAAAATGCCGGCGTGCACGATATGTGATATTAACATTAAGGGCTTCGAGAAGGCTCAAAAGTGCTTTGCCTGTGGTATTAAAGATCACACAAAATGTTTGAAAATTGAAGAGAGTGACCTTAAAATCTTGTGCAAATACAGAAATTTTCCTCTAAAATTGATGTCCTAAAAGAATCTGTTGTAAAGTGTTTAAATCATATCGAAAATAAAATTAAACATAATAATCAAATTCTAAATCAAGTTAAGGAAACTCTACCTTCTGAAAGTTCAACAAAAAATGATTTTTTTTCAAACGTTGTTAGTAAATCTAAATCCACTGTTATTTTGCAACTAAAATATACTAAACAGTCGATTTCTACTACAAAAAAAGATTTATTGAGTCAAGTTGATCCCGTTAAATTGAACCTTGATGTTGCTTGTATTAAACCTGATCGTAATGGAAGCATCATCATAAGTTGTAATGGTACTGCCGACTCTAATAAAATTAAGAATTTAGTTGGTGAAAAATTAACGGACTACAACTTGAAAAATTTGCCAAGTTTAAAGCCCCGGATGTGAATTTCCGGAATAAACAAACACATTCCAGAGGAAGAAGTGGTAGACTACATTCTGGGTGAGAATAGGTCTTTATTTAGTACTGAATATATCTTAGATCTAAGTTCCTACAGTTTCCAATGCTGGGAAATTATTCGTCGGATATGACTACTGTAAAATTTGGGACGCATGCTTCAAATGCTCAGGTTTTAATCATATGTCAGGTCAATGTACAGCAAAATCTCCTATTTGTCCAAGGTCTGCCGGGGCTCATGTGCTAAAAGACTGTCAGTCAGAATCTCTGAAATGTACTCACTGTAGTTCTCACAAAGACAAAAATCCGGATATTTCCGATAACCATGCGGCCTGGGATATTGACAAGTGCTCAGTGTACCAAAATCAACTTCAAAAGCTTAAGACTTTAATACTTGATACTAAGTAGCAATCACAGAATTCGCAGATGATTAATAGTTCTGCCACCAAACTATCCCTTATGAATAATTCTTTACCCAGTTGTTCAACCAATTCGTCATTTTTGTGTTGTTGTTATCAGAATGTTAGAGGTTTATACACTAAAATAAGGAATTATATTTATTCTTAATTTCTGAAACCCATTTAAAATTAATTGCACTATCTGAAACTTCATTTTTACGGTACTTACCTATTCGATAAATTTTAATATTTTAACGATGGCTTGTTAAATGAAAGTAACTACAACATGACCTTCTCATTCCAGAAAAAATGAACTACTTTCATAACTTGGGTGTCATCAACTAGAAATTTGAAAGTTGTTATAGATTATAGGCAGCGGAAAACTTAGGACCGTTTTGACTGAAACCTGGAAAATATGTTTTTATTTAGTTAAATAATTCTTTAAAACACATTTATCCTTGAACACTAATTTGTATACCTAATATTTATCCCAATAATTTCGTAATCGGCATGAGATTTCACTACTAGTAAGGCCCCTTCAGAACACTTTGTTTTTTTAATCATTTTGCCCTGTTTTCCAAAGAAAGTCAAAATTTTAAAGAATCTGTCATGTTTTTCCAAAGGTGAATTGGATTTGGTTCAACCAAATTCACCTGTGAAAACGTTTAAAATTTAACCATTCTACAGTTATAAAGATTTTACTCTGTTTTTCTGTTGCGCCACTTCAGCACAAAAATGAATACGGTTTCAGACAAACAAATTCACTTTGAAAACACTTAAAATACAGTTTGTATTGTATTGTGTGGGTTATATATACAAACGCAAGATGTTATTTTTAATACTATAAACTATAATGCTACTTTAAACTCACATCTATTTTATTTAACAAATAATTTTTTTCTTGTGGTTTGTTAAACAACTTTATAACTGTCTTTACGAAATGTTTTTACGAAATTAAATAGTAGAGAAATTTTTCTTACTTAACAATTCTGCAAAATGCCTCCATTCCTTCTGGAGACCCAAACTTTAGGTTCACAAGTTTCCCTCTTAGTTGAACGCGTAATTGGTTTCCATCTGTGCAGCTAATCACAATTATTTCATTTTTATAATAAAATCCATCGTAAATCGCATTTAACGAGTTAAACAAAACGGCCATTTTTAGAATCGCCATCCGTCTCTGGAAAACCATCGAACCTGATCGTGAGTTTTTTGAACACACTCATCTCGGGCACTCGTTGTTTTAGTCTGACCATCTATTCGAAAGAAAACAGATTTTACTAAAAACATTAACAAGAAAGGAACGTACCTGGAAAAAATGGGGGCAAACATGGAAGAAATGAACCAGAAAATGGATGCAAGAATGGAAAAGATGGATGAAAAAATAGACAAGCAAAAAGATGACATAATCACCAGCCTAAGTGAAAAATTCCAAAAGGAAGTGGAACCAAACAAGAATGAAATAGAAGAAATCAGAGAAGAAATGAAGGACGTAAAAACAAATCTGGAAAACATGGAAAATATTGTCGGACAAAATATGATGTCAATGGAAAACAACATGGAAGATCGAATGAAAATTATAGAAGATCGAATGAAGAACAAAATGAAGAAATATGAAGTGTTAATGAAAAATACAGCGACGACTGGTTCAGGTTATGTGACCTCGGCCTCCAGAACGATTCAACCACCCACTTATGATGGTCAGACACCTTGGTCATCGTACAAAAAGCAGTTTGAGGCAGCAGCGACATCGAATCTGTGGGAAGAAGAACAGAAAGCTACAGACTTGGTAATAGCGTTGCGAGGTGCAGAGCTAGAGATACTCCAAACTGTGTCTGAAGAAGATAGAAACACAATGGGAATTCGGGTGCTCATTATGGAATTAACAAGACGCCGCCGGCAAGACGTCGAGAGCTGTTGCAAGGAGTGTAGGACCTGTGCGGCGGTTAAAAGACCTAAAACTAAGACGTGAGGGCCGATGCAACTACCGAACGTCGGCTCGCCTTTTGGAAGAACTGCAGGAGAAGTAACGGGTCCCCTCCCAGTGCCCGAAGAAAGGAACAAGGACACGAAGAAGGTCAAAGGTCACGACGATGGCTTACAGGAGAAGCTGCCGAGAGTTTACGAAATGCTGCACCACCACAATAGAGTGGCGACTGGTAGAATGAAGACACGGTACGACCTCTGGGACAACTCAGTGGGGTTCCAGGCGGGAGATTTGGTATGGCTTTATAGCCCCCAAAGAAGGAATGGTCGTTGCCCGAAGTTGTCATCAGACTGGGAAGGTCCCTATACTATCGTGACGAGGATCAACGATGTCGTCTACAGAATTCGACGAGGGCCGAAGAGGAAAATGAAGATTGTTCACTTAGGCCGGCTCATGAAGTACAACAGTGACACCGTTGATGTTTCTGATCGGTACGATGATGATTATCCTCAATGCGACTGAGCGAGCCGAAAAAACTCTCGATGCGGCGTTCTGGATCTATCGAGAGGCACGCATAGGTTTAAATAGAGGCCACCGTCGGGAACAGGGATTATTATTAAGTTACGCCGAAGTTATTTTGTACATAATTGCTGTAGTAGTTATTCGTGTATATTCGAGTTATTAAGAAATAAATCGTTGAGTTTTACCCACGCCAACAATTTTATCGCCCGCAAACCATAACAATATGTATATTTTTTTTTATAAGAAATATGTTTGCTTAGTCAATTTAAAAGACATGACTTATGAAAAAGAACCAAAATTAATTACAGATTATTTATATTTTTTGCCAGGTGATTTTAAAGAAATTTCACATATTTATCAAAGACCTTCAAGTGATGTTTTAATAGTTGTTAAAAATTTATAGGAGTATAATTTAATTGATTTTCCAAGTTTTTAATGTTAAAAGTGGATATAATGGTCAATCTATTAAAAATTTAGGAATACCAAAAGGAAAAAGAATTTATGCAATATTTAGAACTTATTCTGGAAAAACATGTACATATATTTTATGATAAAGTCTTGTACATTGAATTTGATGAGTGTTTGTTTAGATCAAAGAAAAATGGCCTTATTTCTGAATTATTTGCTGGAATACATCCAAATATAAGCAGAG